TCCTGCTGAGGCAGCAATAATATTCTTGTCTCTGAGTTTCAGCTGTGGCCCCGTGGTGCTCCAGAGTCTGCATACACAAAGCAGGGCAGATTTAGAGAGAGATGGGAGATGCGCGACATGTATTCCTGTGACTGCAATATGCAAGAAAGGTACACAGAAAGGAGCAAGGAAGAAGAGCGCAGCATGATGTCTCCTAAATATAGTCCTGGGGGGGGGGCAAAACCTGGATGACTTTTCTCATTGTTGTCAAAAGCACAAACCATAAAGATAATAAAGCCTTCCTCTCAAAGGCTTCATCACACCCTTCTTGCCATGGTACTCTAAGTTCGATCATAATGACCTTTTTGGCTTCATCAGGCCACAGAACCACACCTGGCCTCAAGGCTGTCTGGATGAGCCTGGGGAACTCCAACTTTCTTCCTAGGTCCACCTTGCATATCAGATGACTGGGCCTTTTGCAGTAGAACGTTTCTTGATGTTCTTGCTGTGATTGATGACTTTTCACCCTCCCTCACAAACCTTATTGCTGGTGTTGCTTTCACATGTATTTGTCATTTCTTGCTTCTCTCCTGGTCCAGGGTGTTAACAAATGACATGAGCACCTTGTCATGCACCACCTGTATCTTCCTTGAGCGAGTGCTATTTTGCACACTGACAAGATGTGTGCCATGGTGCCCGTTATCTCCACATAGCTTGCATATTGGGTCCTCTCTCATGCCTCACTTGTGCAAGCTTGTAGGAGTTGGGAGTGTGTCATATACTGACTGCAGCAGGAAAAAAATGTGGAAGGGTCCTCATCTTGATAAATCTGCCCATGTGATTATCTACTTCAGGAGGTCCCATTTGATCCAAGCTCCCTGGGATGCTAGTTCTACAGCCCCACATTTTATCCTCCAGTCATGGTTTGAATTCTAAACTTTATACAAGCAACTGTGAAAATGCAATTATTTAGTAGGTCTGTTTTACAAACGTTATTGGTACCGTGTATTACATTTTGTTGTAAAGTATGGTTGTCCTATTTCGTACTATTAATGGCTGTTTTCTTTTCTAATAGCAGCACATTACAGTCATAAGCAGAATTAAAAATATCAGTTTGACTTTATGCAGGTTTAAGTTCTTTACTTATACAGCACTGAACATTTCTATTACCTTAACCAATAAAAACCCAATCTTTACTATGTTTTTATTACTCCATTTTACCTTACATTAACTTACTTAGGATTAAAATTGGTCTCATCAAATTATATGAAGTACAACTCAGTAAGGCTGGCATATCATGTGAAAAAAATCCCAAGATGGTAAATGCAGTACCATACAGAACAATTCCATTCAGTGATGTGCACTTAATTGTTCCTAGGACTTGCATTTATATGCACTGTATATATCTATTTAAATATAAATCCATGAGCAAGGGTGTTAACTTGTAAATGGAATAATTATGATGATGAGTTATCCTCAATGACAAACATTTTCCACACAGAGAAATATCTGAAACATGGCACCATATGCATAGTGTTGTTCTTTTAGTAATGATAAAGAGAAGGGTGAGGGGGACCTCTGCAGGACAATTAGTGCCAGTCACTATTTATATGGCCAGTCACATGCAATTTCTCAGAAATTATAATAGGTGTTGTAAAAGGAATTGTTTTATTTCAAAACAACTTTGTAAGATGATCTGCAAGTGTCAGCTGTCTCACTGTACCTTTAGGTGCTCGGCGTTTCTTGGTGTCAATAGCAACTGGGAGCTGAAATGATTCAGATACAACACAAACAAATAAATATGCATCCTAACCCAAGAGCAGCTGCAGCACCACCAGAATAATTTGCCCCACCCAAAAATTGTTCTTGTATCTGTACTGAGGAGCTTGCCTAGGAGTGTCTTTATTTTTTTGTAAGTGGTGACAGGGCTACACTGAGCTTTCAGTCTATTTGATACATTACAATACAGTAATCCAGTATGACAATTATTAGGCTTTAGCTTAAGTTTTTAACCAAGGAATGCATCATTTCTTTCTTTAAATTGTTCCCACTGGTCACAGTGCAGGGTCACATATTGAATGCTTAACTAATTAAAAGTTGGCATTTTGCAACAGTGCAATAGTTTATACATTTTATTAATCATGTACTAATACTATAATGAGAAATACTGTTATGAGTAAATGTTCAAAATCTTACTTAAGTAAAATTATCATTAAAAATCCAGTACTATAGGTACTCAATGTGCAGATGAATACACTATAGTAGGCTTCAGGATGTTTTGTTTTACATACTTTTTTCATTCACTGTTTCGTTTTGCAGTCACTGACATTTTGTTAGAGCAGTGTATTAATATCCTCTAGCTACATGTCTCCACGTCCTAAACGCTAGATGTTATAACAAAACTGGGATTTGTGGTAACATTAAAGCTCACTTACAGCTGAACTCGACTGCAAATCTCAATACGTTACTTTTACAGTACAAAGCGTGGTCCAACGATGGTTAGCAAAGCATAATTACACTGGTTCGTTACCTGCGGATTTCTGTCAATTAACTGCAGCTATAGCTGTTAGCTCATTACATTACTGTGAGCAGTAACGTTAGTTTTAATCAGTTTAGCTTCACTTTAACTAGAATGGGGTAAGACAGGCAGCTAGCTAATGCTTCAAAAGCGAGTGTTATACAAAGGCTTTCTTCAGATCTGACGTTCAGTTTACTCGAGATATATCGCAGTGTCACTTCATCCATCAGAATGTTTAATGGATAATTTATTCAAGCAAGGATAACTAGCTTTAGCTTTGCACTCACCTCTGTGGCCACGGATCCGTCCGCCATCTTGGAATTATCAACACTACAAGCTGTTGCCATGGATACATCTGTGGAATGCGGAGGTGAAGCTCATTGGCGGGGGTGCTATGTTTGACCATAGACTGTAGGAATCTGAGCAACCTAACGATAATGGCCGCAATCAAGCAGTAAGTTTTTATCTTATTTCACACGTATACCCTTTAACAAGAAACAAGCGTGGCCATTTATTCACCGAGTTAGCCAATTGGCTGCAGTATCTTAGCCTCATGTCTCGCCTTCAGATTTCCCATGCAAATCTCATCGTAGAAGGTTGGGCCTATTTCAGACGAACACGTTTCTTTAGCCTACATAATATAACATTAGGACATACAGTAGATTTTCTACACCGCACCCTTTTTTAACAATCTTGCTGGTCAGCCAATAAAGCGTTGCTTGACAAAACTGACTGCAGTGATATCAGCAGCTGTTACTCCTCCACAGAATTTCCAGGGTACGTTTAGACTGGTGTTGTGTCTAAATGTGTTTCCCCTAGCCAATTATCTGACCACTACTGAGGAGGTCTACCTGAAACGAGCTGATACGACTCTATTTATGCTCATCAGGAACATCATTGAGAACAATTGGGGAAAAAAGCATTTAAAACTTTGATTACTTTGTCACTAATTTGCTGTCTGAGAAAACATGGCAGAATTAAGAACCTACCCAGAAGCAAAGCTGTAGCTTTGAGAACAAGCTCCTAGCTACATTTCTGCACAAATACATCATATGCCTAGGTTGGTCTACCTGTATTATACATTATGTGGCTAAGAGAGGTGTAAAGTATGAATAAGGCTTGACCATGGTCTTGACTTAGCATGATAAATATGATCCCAAAATGTTTTAACAGAAAAAGCTGCGAGTTTATTGAATATTAAGACTAAGAACCAATTTCCAACAAATGTTTTAAATAAGTAACCACTATATACACACAACATACCTTACTACAAACACTGACCAGGGGGAAACTTCACAAGAAATTTCTGCACAAAGATAAACAAAATCAAACCAACATGAATTTTCTGCTTAAATCACCACTCAGAAGCTTGTAGCTGAGTTTACATCTGCAAAAAGGCCCTGAGGAAACAGAGTCCATAACTGAAGATTAGAATATATACACAGGTGTGTGTACAAACACACACACACACACGTAAAAACGGGAAAATGCAACACCACCCATAGGAGCAGCTACAGTATGTGAGCATCTAACTATGCAGTAACATGATTATTGTCTACAGTATTTGATTACAAATTCAAAACATACCATATTGTTCTTTCTGCTCACTAATAAACTTTATGTAGTAAATGTCTAAATTCTATCCTGTCAGTAACTTTACATTAATAAACCTGAACCATTTTTCATTTTAATTGTAGTAAGACTCCACACTATGACAAAATGCATATTTCTAACTATGCAACATGAAGTAAATTGTGCCATCCCAGTTAAACCTCGTCTTAATCTGCCCTAAGAGATTTTTCTCTCACTTCATCTAAAATCAATAAGCTGATCAAAAAGAAAGAAAAATCTTCATCCCATAACCTTCATTAATCAGCTTATCGTATACAGTACTATGCACATGAAAACAACTTGGTGAATAGAATTAAACAGCAACATGTAACGGGATGCATCTCATTTTACAGGGCAGTGGAAAGTAACTCCAAAACTATCAGTACTTTTTGTATATATTAAAAATAATACAAAATGATTGAGTGGTTACTGTATAAGGCTCTTCATGCTGCTGTAAGGACAAAAATACGCATACATACATGTGGATCCATTATTCATTGATGGTAAAACATCCTTGTCAAGTGTGTGTTTTCTACAATCCAAACTCGACATGCAGTGTGTTTATTTTTTGAGGCCCCAGTCTTTTATTTCTACATTAACAGTGAGATAGAAAAATCCTAATACTTTTCACCAGCATCTTAGGCAACAAGATTTAAATAAATGCACTTTCCACTGAATCCCAGCCCTCAGTCCAGTGGCGCACCGCAGATTCTCATTTACATCTTTATTCTATTAATTTAAACGCACTCCAGGAGTGATGTTGTGATGTTGCCACTTTATTTTTGTCGTGCACACAGCGCCTCCTATTTGTCATAAAATTCAACCTCAGTTTGTACTTTCCTACATTTTCCAGAATAAAATGAATTTTGGTAGCATGGATTTTGAACATGCTGTATACTGATCAGGCCAGTAAAGACTTCGATAGCAACCAAGTTGTGCAAGTCATTACATGCTTGTGTAAGACCTATACGCTTGTTTTCTGTCTTTAAAGGTTTATATACTGTATGTAGAGAATGGGGACACCTCCCTAGGCAGACCATTTCCCTTGTCATGTTACTTTTTTTGGTCATTTTCATTAGATAAGAAACCCACCTGCCCCTAAAGCTACTCGAGAATATTGGGACATGCCTAGTGTGATATGCTGGTCAGAAAAGACTAGCCTGAGAAACCAAGGATGCGGTAACTGGTCTAATTTTCCTGTCCCCTGCCAAAGGTTCCCTGGGCGGCAGAAGTGGCAGCACTGGCTGCAGCATTCTGGAAGTTGCGGTTGGTCAGGACTCCTTGAGAAAATTCCCGTTGGGCCTTGGAGAAACTGGCACCTGTCCTCCTATACTTCGAGTGGACCTGGGTAAATGTGAAAACACAGATTGGGACAGTGACAGGTTACTAAGTCAAAATAAAATGACAAATTTTCAGTATTTTCTCTCTTAAAATAAACTTTAATGGTTGTGCAGGCTCTGTTTCCTTCAGTTGCAGTCATGAATTTCAGTAAGGTGTGTAGAGCAAAAGCACATCTTTGCAAAAAAGAATCCAGGACAAAATGGGCTTCAGACACCAAGCCTTCAAACACTGGCTGGAAAGTGCCTCAAAACCCGGGCATGCATGTACAGTTTTTCTGTTGGATAAATGTTTGTCTCCCATTATTTGCCTTTGTCTAAATCTACTGTATTGTGCCATGTTGTTGGTTGACTCTTTCCAAATGAACTGTTTGTAGGATCAGTTTCATGCGCTGCTTTGAGTATTTCTGAAGCTTCATATCCCAGTTTCTCTACTCAGCAGTTTCTAAATTCTCATTCCCTCTCATGCCTTGGTTGTCTTTCCATTGCAGCTGCTGCAAAAATTTGTCACCACCATTTTTTAAATCTTGTTTCTCTCTTTGCATGCAGCCAGAGTGGGTTTGGAGTGAAGATAAAAACACAAAGCCACAGTGAGAAAACCTCTATTTATATATGTATGCTGCACCATGTCCGACTTTCTATTCTGGGCAAGTTCCATTAGTTATAAGGCACTGCCATTTTTTTTTTTTTACTGCAAACATAAGTACATAGAGAGTGCAATTTACTTCAAAAAACCAGAATGAGGGTTATGTATGCAACATGCCCAGAGATGTAAATATTTTGCAATTTCTCTTCCCAAAGGGGAATGTAGATAATCTGATTAAAGTTTACATGTTAACATACCATATATCAGCTTACCATTTTTAGCAGGATGACAGCCATGACAGCATTTACAGTGAAAAAACCGGCCACCACCATCATAACTACAGCCACAGCCAGGTCCCTGTTGATCATGCTAATTGATGCGATCCATCCACTATCAACAACAGAGACATACAAACAAATAACCATGTTTCATTTCACATTTTCTGTATGAACCATACAGCATACCAACCTTTTGGCAGTTAAATAACAGCTTAAAAATTAATGAATTAAAAGAGAAATGACCCAAAATCCCAACATTCCTCAATGAGCAATGGCAAAGTATGAAATCTTAAAAAGTGAATAAGGGAAAAAAAAGTCTAATATGCCTATCTGATAGACAACAGAAACCAAAAGAGAAAAGTCCACACTTACAAAACACACGAAACAAACACATAGGTGTGACTGAAGAAACACTCACCCATGCAAATCCTCATTATACTATCAATCTACCCAAAGAAGAGTGCACAGACAAATTCTTAGTAATAAAAATAGATACTTGGGGACATGTTCACAAAACAGCTCATCTTACTACCAGGCCTCTCCTAAACAGCACTGGAAGCTTTCCTCTTAAGAGTTATTCACAAAGCTGCTAAGAGCAACTTTGAGCAAAAAACAAGGAGAACTCCAGCTACGAGCTACTTTTAGAACAGACGTGTTTTGTGAATATGGTCCATGTTGTTAGCAATGAACAACTGCCACATGCATTTAGACCACACCTTCAGAATTTCACACAACATGCAGATGATTATTAAGCTAAAAATGTTCTCACTGACCTGTTTCCCCACTTGGGGATCCCTACAGTTTGGATAATGTACACTGCCACTTGGAAGAAAAAGACGAAGAAGAAAAAAAAGAAGCTGAAGGAGCTGTCGGACCTAGGGAGTGAAACGGGACAATAGAAAGGACAGGTTAGCAACGTTATTTCCTAATGATGACATTTGTTTGCTGCCACATTAGATATACACTATCAGAAGTTTGGACACACTTTTCTATTAAAGTCAATGGAAAAGTGAGATCAAGAGAGTATCTATTATGTGAAACCTCCAAGACCGGTGTACATATAGTATAAGCAAATAAAATATGGTCGTGGCTTCTCTCAGACCAAAGAAAAAGAACAACAGTCTGTAAAACCTAAACGTCCACTCCAAGTTCACTCCAAAATTTTTTTAATTCAGTGAAGCTCTAAATGCTATTTCAGTTGCCTCTCCTCTGCCAAGAACACAAGTCCTGGGGAAAACACTGAACTGTAATTTGATGTTAGCATTTTCCTATTTTAAATGGAAGCAGCTGAGTACAGAGTAGCTCCACATACACCTTCTCAAACCCCTTAGGCTGAATTTCATGTAGTGTTCACAAACACTGCATGAAAACACTACTAAGTAGTTTAACCTTCTCCTGTCTGTACAAGGTATTGTTATATCCATAAGACATCTTACAAATCATAGAACACTTAATCATCAGCACGAGACCAGTAAAGCAGGGTACCTGAACGCCTTGTAGACAGGCCTGTACCAGCAGATGAAGGCCACAGGGGTGAAGAGGATGAACCAGAGGATGGAGAGGCCGAAGTCAACACCGTACGCAGCGTCTGCAGTGAAATAAGCCAGGCAGGCCAGCACGTTGAAGAAGAGTGTGACACTGTGGACTGGTGGAGACACAAAGAAAACCAGTGACACAGACTGACGATGGTGGAAACAACCATTATCAGACACCAACCTAAGGACAAATACGCCACTTTGCTTTTGAATGGCAAAAAAATAAAGTTGTGCAATATTTTTTGTGAGCTATCTTTGGCACCCATTTTGAGGCATTAATGTGTAGGGTGTCTGATGGGTGAAAGGATTTGGCACTAGCAGTTGACTGCACTCTGCTGGATTTTAGGATAAGTGTAAGTGAACTGAATCAATGCACATTCCACAAAAAGTTCCAATGCATATTGTAAGAACCTTTATCCTCAAATGTTAAAAATATTATACAGTGACAAAAGGCACAGAAAATCGTGTTTATGATTAATCTACTGTGCTCATCTGCATCTGTAAATACCACTATTAAATCCAGAGTTTAAAAAAGGAGACACTTGTTTACATATAAAACCTTTCAGATTTCAACCATACTGCCCTCCAGATAAATGGGCCTTATTCAGCAATATCTAAGTTTGTTCTTAAAAAAAAAAAAGGTCCTAAGAAAAGTCTACGTCTGATTCATGAACGTGTTCCTAAAGCACAGAACTGTTCGCACCTGTGTTCTTATAATGATGAATCCCACTGTGTTTGTATGCTTAAAGCTTGTGCCAGTCGTTCCTCTTTAGCATGAGTAAATGCCCCGCCAAAAGCCATAAAAGAGCCTGAGGGGTCATGTGCACACACAGGAAGATCACACAGAAATTGAAAAGAAAAGCTGAGAAAGTCAGGAATGATATATAAAGACAGAGGAGCATCAGGCTCCAAACCAAAGAAAATTCTGAGTAGTTATGAAGAGGAGAACAGCAAATGAGCTGTCATATTAAGCAGCGTCAGTAATGGATATAACAAAAAAGATATACTGGATGTTCTCGCTTGCTCACTCAAGGGTGCACAACTGATGAAATTAAGAATGGCTTGATCTAAAATATGAGGCAACAAACACAGAAGAGAGACAGCGACCAGTGGAGGGGGACACGCCTGCCCCGAGTTATACAAGCTGGACACAGCACTCTCAGATGTGCCATCAACTCAGCATACCTTCATGTGTGCACACAGGTCCCATAGTCTCAACATAGACATTTAAAGAAATTCATGAAAATGAAAAATAAAGATATGTACTTAAACATGTTTGGTTTTGAAGTGATGCTTAGAGTAAAACAATGGAAATAATTACTGAAAAAGTATTGGTGTAATATATTAGTACTATAGGGGTACATACACATCCAGAGGTAATACATTCTTTTGCAGATCTTGCGGTACTCCTCAGGGATTTCCTCCTCAAAGTTCTGATAGAAGCATGGTTTCACAGGGAAGAAGGTGGGAAGAGGTGGCCAGTTGTTCTCTTTAGCTGATAAAAGATCGACCAATTGGAATGTCATTATGAGTGGTGGGTCAGTTCTTGTATTGTATATGCATATGCATGTGCTCAGCAGAACTTCAGTCACTGACCTCCACTGTTTGCGCTGCTTGCACTCCTGTTCTGCAGCTCCTGTTCCTTCTTCTCCAGCTCAGCTGCTTTTCTCTCAAGCTCTTCCTGCTGTTTGATCAGGTTAGCATGGCCAGCAGCTGCAGTTGCCTGGTGGGTGATGGAAAAGCTGAACTCTTAACACTGTGTTCAACACTGTCACTGCATCACTAAGTGCCTACTGCATTTTTCCTCCTAGTAGCTCTGTGATGTTAAATTTACACTACAATACACTACAGGCAACTGTACAACTACCCCACACCTACAGTAATTCAGGTGTAGAAGGTACCAGCTCCTAAGCCCAAATTTCAGATTATAGCTAATGACTTGCTGCTATATTGGCACTAAAATCAGGTGTCGCCCAATTTTAGCTTATTGCAGATATATGCAGGTCAAAATACCATGGTCACAATAACCCAAATTAATTTTTATTTTGCTTTACTCATTATTTTAAGTTATCACCCTCTATAGCTTGTTTTCAATTGTCAAACTGATATACAACATTGATTGAAATGATTGATTGTGTATTATAGTCATAAGGTCATGGCCATTTAAAGCCAGTGTCAACTCCCTAAAACCTCTTTGTTAATCTCAACTCATATAAAAAATACCTGATACAGTATGTGACTGCACACTAGATTCTTTGTCTTTTTTAGTAAATGTGCATCTGTGTCTTGCCTTACTTGTGGAGTTTGCTCCACAGAGGCCTGTAGTATGGCGGGTTGAGTGGAGGCAGCGAAGGCAGGGACTGTCGTGCCAGACCGGTTTCCCTGTGAGACAAAGTGAAGCAAGAAAGACTTTTAAATAACTAAATGGCCTCTAGGCTCAACTACCCGCCCTTGCACTTGATTTAGGGACCATCAATAAATCGCCATTTTACTGACACAATCCAATGATATGCAAACTGGTCACAAATAGAAACAAGATGACCAAGAGACACAAGACAAGAAATGCAAATCTTCACCACAAACCAAGACTACCACCAATAAGGACATAAAAACTCAAAACACCCACATACAGATACAGTATGTCATCTATAGTAATTTTGCATCTCGTTCAGTTTGGGGGTCCATGTAGGAGGGGTGGGGCTTTTACATGTCTCTGCCCACTGTCCCTCATTTGATTTGATTTATTCTTTCAAACATGCAGAACAATGACATCAACACACACACATAATTACACAAATCCAACCAATGCTAATCCAGAATTAGTTTGCTTATACCTAGTACATGTTTGAATGGAGTAGGAAGAAGTCAGACTTATCCAGTCCTACCCCATAACAATGGCCACCTCATAATGCATAATGATCACGTCAGTACTTATTAAAAGACAATGGAGCAAACCATTTCATTTGCAGAGAATGGGTTGAACTCCCCTGTGGTCTCCGTGGCTCTGCTGGTAGCTTGTGTGATGGACGCATCCTGAAAAAGAAATCAAACTTAATTTAGTATTATGTGTCACGACTTGTTTATATTCGGTGCTACTGTGGTTGTGGAGTAAGCAGTGTACACACTGGGTCTCGACCAGTACAGAAAGAGCACTTGAATGCTGAACTGTGTCACACGAAACGAATTTTTTATTACTATCCTTGCCCTAAACCACATTGTGTCAGTTACAACACCGTTTCCCAGGTTCAAACAAATAAAAGGCGCTTTTCCCGTTAAGTAAATATCATGAAGACAAATGTTTACTTATAACAAGTTACCACCTACTGCTATTAAATCTGAAAACATTAGGGTATGATAAAACGGAAGGACACCATCATGCAACTCTAGAAAGTGCGCCATTATATCCCATTTTGCCCATTGAGGATCTCACTTGACGGCTACGTAGCATCGGGCACCTGTTCGTGGGTCTGCCTCCCTGAGCAGGTGAGTTAACAACGCACGTACAGCGTAAATACGTTGTTTTACAGATAATATTTATAAGCGGCCTATATTTAGACTTCAACGTGTCATACTTCATGATAGGAACGATTTTTGAGGCAGGAAACACTGAGGCCAAACCCAGCAACCAACCCAACAGGTTTCTCTGTTGCGGCATATCTCTTTCAGTCTTCACACGAAAAAAGCCTCCAAAATATCGATTCGCAAAGAGAAAACAAAACGAGAACCTCACCTGGAAGGGATTTACGTCCACTGGGTCGGCGAATGGGTTGCTGTCAAATTCCGACATTGCGGAAAAAGTTATTTTTGTGCGAAATTAACACAACGTCACCTCCAGTCTCCCGTGTCTGCTACTCCTGTTTGCCAACCTGCCGACACTGGACTTCTGCGCATGCGTAACTCGAGGTGGACCGCGTCACGTGAATAAATTCGTTCCCAACTTGTGAGCATTTATTTTAGTATGTAAAATCTAACGGAATCTACCAATGTTGGACAAGCCTACGCCATTGTTGCCAGTTTACATTTCATTCTGAGATCAAATCACCTCTCCATTATTTTCATTGCATAAAACGTAAGGTTGTCCTTTTATATTCATTCTGACATGTCGCCTTTTTATATTCATTTGGCATAGGCGCTTGCAAAGGCACTTAAGTGCTGCGCCTACGCCTTTCTCTGGCAGATAAATCCCTGAATTATACATGCCTGGCCAGAAAAATCTCTTCAAAATCCTTAAAGGGATTCGTAAAGCCTAGGTGACCTACTCTCAGCACTTCCTCTCTGTATATGTTGGAAGGACCAGCTGCCTGCCACAGTCATTATATAGAAGGTCAGTGTCACTCAAAAGTAGCCTACTCGTGTAGAAGACTGATAGTGTAGTGTCACTGTGCCTCTTGGAAACAGTGGGGATGCTGCTGCTGCTGCACAGACAGTTGCAAAACACCTACAAACTCTGTCCTTATATGAACATTAAACTCATCACTTTGATCAATTATTAGGGCTATTCTACAGTCTCTACTCCAAATCATTGGCCAGGCTGCTGACAGGCCTTTAAAATAGGTCACACAGTTCCACAACAAAATACTTCATTACAAGTTCTGCATTTACAGTGGAAAGTATGTAGCCTGTGTATAATCAAGAAAATGTAAAAATACCTGATCCTTATACAACTATTTTATATAAGACTGCAAGTAACTATTTGCATAAATAGGCCCAATTCATTTACAGATTACTTTCTTGACTGATCAGCTGTCACAATTACCCAGAGCCCAGTATCATTGTCACAATTCCTTTGTCTTAACTACAGCTCAAACTTCAACATTATTAGACAATTTAAACGGGGCAACTAAACTGAAATATGTAATTCTTAAATTTATGAGGATGGAACCATGAATTTTTTTTTCATGGAAAATTACTTTACTTGGTCAGGTACTGAAATTGATTTGTTCTTAAAGTTGAGTAATTGTTTAGTTTAGTTAGTTTAATTGAAAACCTTTGATAAGTTCTTCATGCTTTGTAGGTAAAGACGTTGGATTTTATGATGGGGACGCAGATAAGGTTTTCTTCTGCTGACTCTTCCATGAAGGCCTTGTCTGTGCAAGCATCGCTGCACAGTGGAACGGTGCACCACCACTCCTGAGTCTGCTAAATCTTCCTGCAGGTTTTTTGCAGTCAAATGGGGGTTTTGATTTGTCTTTCTGACCAGCATACGAGCAGTTCTGTCCGAGAGTTTTCTTGGTCTTCCAGATCTCATCTTGACCTCCCCAGTTCCCCTGATCTGCCATCTCTTAATTACATTTCTTACTGTGGAAACTGCAAGCTGACAACGCTTTGCTATCTTCTTGTAGCCTTCTCCTGCATTGTGGGCATCAATAACTTTCATTTTCAGGGTCTTACACAGCTGCTTAGAGGAACCCATGGTTGCTGGGTGTCCACAAGTGTGTGCACAAGGTTTGAAGAGTCAAAGTATTTGTACAGCTTTGAAATTGGCATTTACCAATGACAGCTGTTGCTGTGCATCAGATCTAACGAGCTGATTAAGGTCTGATACCTTGTGAGAGACTTTGAGACTCTGGAACTCTTAGGGTGCCCAAACTTTTGCACCATGCCATAATCATGTTTTTATTTTTTATTTTTGTTCAATTTATGGCATAAGAAGTAACTATGCATCACTGTTTGCAGAAAATATTGTGCATTTTTTCCATTTCCAAGAGAAACTGTGTTAACATCTGTTCAAATAAAAAATCACCAAAATCTGTTATTTATCAAGGGGTGCCTAAACTTTTGCATAAGACTGTATGATACAATTTGTACTTGAGTAAATATTAGTCACTTCCCACTGCTGCTTTTTAAAACTTTATTCTTTTGTTTTAAGTTGCTTTCAGGTTCTCTTGGAATAATCAGTTCATAAATGATAAAAAAAAAAAAACTAAGTAACATGCCCTAATATAGGTTATTAAATAGCTGGAACAGTTCAATAGACTTAATTGCTGAGCAATTTCTGTTTTTACCAGAAAGATACAGTCAATGGATTCCCAAACATAGGTTGTCATTTGTGTAACAATAAAAATGCACGTGCCAATACCCCATAGTTGGGTACTACTGTTCTAGGCTGAACAGTCAAGTGACTTTTCAGGACAGACGGACAGCACCTAGGGATGAATAAATGTAGAAAGGGCCAGCAACACAGGAAACAAGCATACAATACGTTGCCTGCCTGCCCAAGAGAAAGAAGGCTGAACTGAGGTCTTATTTCATTTCACAGAAGGAGACAGATTCCCAAAGCTTATGAATAAACAAATGAAACGCCATCTTGGCATTAACACTTAAATGAAACCCACAATTACTGAAAACCATGAAATCCCACCGAAACGTTAACTGACTGGCTAAATTCTTGTTAGGAAGAAGAAACTCAATTTCCTTTAAGGAAGAAGTGGTTACACCCTGTTGAAAGTCTTGGCAATTCAGCTACACAGTGACTTAAACACAACAGCTTGTATAGATAAGAGGCAGGAAATATAGAGAGGACATTTCAGTCCAGCCTGAACGTGAGAATATGTAACCTAACTGAACATTGGCCATTGTGGTGATAATTGCACTGTGATAGAACATGCTAAAATGTAGTGCGACCATAGTATGAAGAGAGAAGTCAGAAAAAGAACTAATACCAGTAAAGCCACTTATATAAATCTAATTTGCTAACGCTTAACATGTGCCATCATAAGTTACTGATGAAAACATAAGCAAGGATAGTCAAGACCATCTTTCACTGAAGTCTTTTGTGGACCAAAGCGCTTCTTTATCAGAAAATAGTTGGTGATTAGAAGCTTCAGATGACGTATCAGAGGAAAATATGTCTTGCGTCTCCTTGATTCCTCTTTCCTTGCATTTTACCTGGGTGGGGCCAAGACAAAAGTAAAAGACAGTAGTGGAGGAAACATTGATGTATATAAAGAGACTTTGGATATACCCTTTAAGTGTTTTGTGTCCATCACTGAAGACATTTTTTAAAGTTGGTTTAAAAAAAAAAAAAAAAAAGGTGCAATTAACATTAAAGGTGGCTAAATTGAATTTGGGGAGGGGGGTACAGTGGGGCAGTGGTTAGCACCATAGGCTCACAGCTAGAAGGCTCCAGGCTCAAACCTTGTGGCCGCCAGGGGCTTTCTGTGTGGCGTTTGTATGTTCTCACTGTGCCTGTGTGAGTCTTCTCCAGGTAGTCCACCTTCCTCCCACAGACCAAAAACCAAATGGAGCCACTGTTGATGTCATTAGCTAACGCCTGTGTAAATATCCGCTGTATTTAAAGCTTTAATATATCATTTACTTTGACATTACTGGAAAATTCTAATAATGAGTGAAAAATAGACAAAATGAAGAAACACACTTGTATGACTAAAACAAACACTCATTAATAACCACAGAAGACATGATGATTTTATGTTCTTGCTTGATTGCTACTGAACAAACACTTTAGAGACAGGAGGTGGGGACGAGTTTGAGAGTGAGGAGATAGATCTCAACAAAATAATGGCATTTGTCCTCTATACTATACATATGAATTGCACTACTCAGTGCAATTACTGTATGGCTGTTTAAGCAGTGAATGTAGGGATTTTATAGATGTTCTTTACAGAGCTGGGATCCCCTGGCTGGAATACACACCAGCTGATTTGGTCCCTTTGATGGTAGTATTTCCCTAGTAAGGGGAAAAAGCAGCACAATGTTGAAACACTTGAAGTGGTTTTTTCTCACACATACATACATACAGTCATGCATGAGTGCTCAGTCTATGTACACATACACATAAAACATTTACTGCCCAAATCCATACAACTCTGTTCGAGATACTCAAAAAAAAAAAAAAA